CTATAGTATTTCGGGGCTCTGTTCACACCAGTGCAGTCCGTTCCAGTGTGGGGGAAAAAAATGCTGCATGCACTATTTGTTCTGTTCTGGAACACACCAAAGCACATGTTAATGCACTGCACCTGAGAGCCTATTTTATGCTAAAAAAAAAAATGCACCGGAATGTCAAAAATGCCCTGCATCGCATTTGAAGATCTGGTCCGGACATCATGTGAACAAGCCCTTAAAAGGCCACATAGCCTGCAGTCTCTCAGCAGGTAGACTGAGGCCCCTGGATGGGTTTAAATGCAAGATTTTAGAATTGCCTGGAATGTACTTTTCAGTGCGTTTCCATAAGGAGGGTGTGTCTTTTATTACACAGTTTTGTGTGATACATGGTTTGCCTCACTGTAGGTTTTCTTTGAAACAAAACATGCATGAAAATTTTAAAGCATTTGTAATAATTTCTTGTGTTTTGACATCCACTATGCAATCCTTTGAAACTTTTGCCGGGCTGTGAGAAATGTCCATTCTCGTAAGCTTCGCCTGGCAGAAACAATCTCTGTTCTTCAAACACAAGTGGAAATAGCATGCTCTTTGTACATGTTTCCAGTACATCCTAGACTAAATTACTTTAAATGGCCGGTCATGTAAAGAATACACAAAAGAATTTTAGAACCTGCACTTTAAGCTCTTGATATGAATAATTCATATTTAAGTTCTTTCCATTTAAAAATTCCACTTCTGCTTTTCATTAGGAGGGCTGAATGTCTTAGACGGATTCATTCTGGCCTATTTACCTTTTTTTTTTTTTTTTTGCCATTTTATGGTGCGGCACTGTGCCCTTGAAACTGTTATGCAGAACTAATGTATTATATTCATTTCATGTCTCCAAGAATTCCTTGTAGAATAACCAGTGGGGATTTTGTTATTTCTACTTGTAATTTTGTATATTACATCCTTTTATCTTTTTATTGGGTAGAATGTAAAATGTACAGTGGTACCTCGGTTCACGAATGCCTCTGTTCATGAACAATTCGGTTCACGACCAGGAAGTTCGTCAAAATTTTGCCTCCGTTCGCGAACTCTGCCTCGGGTTACGAACACAAACGCTGCCATCTTCCCCGCTCTGACACATGGTCGTGGCTTCCTGTACTCGAGATTGTGGTCGCAGACAGGGCTGTGAGCACTTATTGTGAAGCTTTTTTGTGTGCTTTGTAGCACAGTACTGTACAGTATTACTGTGTTCATTCCAGCATGGCTCTCAAAGTGCAGAGCAAGCATGGTGGGGAAAAAAAGCGCAGAGCATTAATGAAGGTGGCAAGAATGTGCAGAGCATTAATGAAGGCGACAAGAATGTGGCAGAGCAAGAATGGTGGTAAAAAGAAACTTGTGGTTACATTTTTTTTTTCTTTTTTCACATGGTTCAGAACGGATTAACCTGATTTACAATTAACCCTATTGGGAAAATGTGATTCGGTTCACAACCGAAAATCAGTTCGCCACCACGTTCGTAGGGGTCTGAACGGATTAACCTGATTTACATTGAACCCTAAGGGAAAATGTGATTCGGTTCACAACCAATTCGGTTTGCGACCAGAATCGTGTAACCAATTAAGTTCGTGAACCGAGGTACCACTGTATATACAGGTTTATACACAAACATAATTGTAATTTCAGGTTTAATCTTTTTAGAATGGGTATAAATACATTCAATTTATTCTTTCATCTAGCATGTTTAATTTTGGGGAAAACCTGGAGTACAAGCAGAAATTAGCAGATAAAGTACATAATTGAGCAGAAGAAAAATAACATTTTGATTTTAAGTATTGTAATACTTTTTGCCTTTTTAATTTACTATGTTTATATGCATATGCCAGATCAGATTTATGGTTAGACCATGCTGGGGAGCTGTAGAGCCCTGCAGTTGTCAGGTCAGGTTTATGGTTATGCCATGCTGAGGAGCTGTAGAGCCCTGTACACGTATAAACTGTAAGAAATTGGGCCTAAGCAATAACTGTTGAGGGGCCCTTGGTAGTATGTAGGCCACAGGCTCCCCTTCTTGCTAATATGTTCAATACGGAAAGAATCTGCAAGAAATCTGCAAGCTATTCCCACTTTAGTGTCTTAAAAAAAAACACATTTTGTTGGAATATACATCTAGACATTTTTTTGGTTGATTGGGCAATTTTTTTAATTTTAAAGGTCTAAAGTGGCATAGCAGCTATAGGCACCATTACTGTTTAATATATATTACAAAGCCTACACACCCCTGTAAAAAAAAGCCAGGTTTTTGAGATGTAATAAAAATCAAAGGTTTCCACCTTTTTGTTGTGACATCTTCAGGCCTCTGCTTAAGGGACTTTTATCTTTCAAAGTATTTTATTTTCCAGTATAGCATACAATTGCATTTCAGATTCTTCCACATTAGCATAGTGAAGTAGTAGGGGGGGATCACTAGATGCCATACACAATATATAATAGTTCTGTAAAACAGATCATATCTATCACCCTATTCTTGCCAATGTATCCCCCATCAGCAAAAACAAAACTCAAAACAGTCTGAGAGGAATATCTGGCATAGGGATCCGCCTATGTCTGCAGCAAACATTTGTTATGATCTCCTCCTTGTCTATATAAATAGAAGACTTTCTGTCCCACATCAATGTACTAAACAGCTCACGTGTGCGAGCATAATGAAAAAAAGACAGACAAAAAAGGAAAAGGAAATAGATGCTAAAGGACGCAGAACAGCTTAAGAGTCTGAAAAGAGTAGCTCCATCCCCGACCAAATAGCCCAACATCTACTTAAACATTAAACATAGTCCCCAGAGAAAAATTCCAGAAAAATTGTTCAATGAAAATTACCCGGTTTCCAGCACCCCTGTATATAACCTGGGGGTCCAGGTCAATTCAAAGCTTTTTTAGTATCTTGGAGGATGCTGTGAAGTTTCTCATGGACCATAATCCACAACATTTTTTGTTTAACCAAGTGGAATGGAATTGTTGATCCTCCCGGAGTTGGTGAAACCGAGGTATATAGTTTTTCTATAGTTGTAAAAAGATAGGTGTAAGTTTAATCCCTAGATATTGCAAAGCCTCCGTGGACCAGGTAAAATCAAAATGTTCCGACAACCGAGACCACACTTCCTGGGGGATATTGATATTAAGAGCCAATGATTTGGATGCATTGACCCGCAATCCAGATACCCCAGCAAATTGAGTCAACAATGACAGGACATTAGGAAGTGTGGTCAAGGGTGAAGTGACAAACAGGAGCAAGTCATCCGCAAATAAAGCACACTTATGCTCCTGCCTACCACAACCCACTCCCTTAATATTAACATTAGCACGGATCGCAATCGCTAGTGGTTCTATCGCTAATGTAAAAAGCAGTGGGGAAAGTGGACAACCTTGACGTGTACCTATAGAGATAGCTATGGAGTCAGATGTGGCCCTGTAGCCTAATTTGTGCTGACTGAGTGGTGTATAAGGCCCGCAACGTATTCAGAAAGAGGGGGCCGAAGCCCCATTTCTCAAGCAGCTGGAAAAGGTATTGCCAAGACACTGAATCAAAGGCTTTTTGGAAGTCTAAAGACAACAGAAGCCCAGATTGTGATTGCCCTCCATCCCACCCTGACTGCAACAAGGTCATCATATCAATGGCCCTTCTAATTTGATCGGGGCCTTGCCTACCCCTAATGAAGCCCACTTGATCCTTATGAATATAGGATGGTAGGAAGGAGCTCGATAGATTAGCAAGAATTTTAGTTAGGAGTTTTAAATCATTGTTTATCAAGGAGATCGGTCTAGAGTTGGAGATTTCCCCCAAGTCCTTGTTGGGTTTAGGAAGAACTATAAGATAGGCCCTATTTAAATCTGTGTGTAAGGAACTCCCCTGTCTCACTTCATTAAAGAATCTCTCCAAGTGAGGCACCAAGACATCCGAAAACTTCTTATAGTATAAGGCAGGCAGTCCAACCGGACCCGGAGCCCATGACAATTTTGCCTGCTTGATAGCTTGTTTAATTTCCAGTGCCGAGATGGGTGCTTCCATAATCATGGAATGATCCAATGACAGGGATGGAAGAGGACCAACAAAACAATACAAAAATATAAATAAAGAAAACCCAACAGAAAAAAACAAAACAACAAAAAAAATACCTATACAAACAATTATCCCTGCTTAAGGGACTTTTAAACAGTATTATAGTTCACATTAGAGGCGGAAAAACTTCAGAAGTGATTTATCTTTGACTGATTTTTTTTTTTTTGTCTTAAAAACCTGCCATTTTTACAGTGGTCTGTAGACTTTTTTTTAATATGCACCGTAGTGAGAGGGAGATGGTACTTTGAGGCAGAAATTGTCTAACTGAAATCTTGAATAGAAACTTCTGTTAAGGTCATTGGTGATGTCACTTAACTGTAAATTTTTATAAAGTATTAATAAAACACAAAAACCTAATGTGATATATAAAATATTCAATATATAAAATAAAAATTGATATACAAAATATTTTGCAATATTTCACATTTACCTGCCAAAGAAATGTATTTTTGTTATCCCTGACCATAGTCTACAAAACTGTTCTACATCACTTCTCGTTGGGTATTTGAGGAGTCCAACTCCTGCATCTACTATAAAATAGTATTCTGATTGTATTAAAGGTGCTCTTCAACACAGATACAACAGCAACTGAGAAGAAATCTTCCCAAAATGATGGGAATTCAGATGCTAGTTGTCGTCAGAACATTAATTTCCATTTGCCCTCACATCTTGCTGTCATGACTGCTCTGAAATTCAGGATTTTCCCTCATTTTATGTCTCTGTGATAATAGTCAATAAAGGACAACAGATGGTTCAGTCTTCCCAATGGGAACACAGACTGCAGTAAATACTTGGCAGAAGGTCTAACCCTTCTACACGCTATCCAAAACTATAAAAAAAAAAAAAGCTTTCAAGATCAACTAATGCTTGTGCACACAGCCTCTTAATTGCAATTTATATTTTGTATTTATAGATCCCCACATTAAAGTATCTGGCAAGAAAGAAAATGTGAAAGAAGCAAAGGAACGAATAATGTCTGTTTTGGATACAAAGGTAAGTTTAAGTCCTTAAACGGTTTATAAACAGTAAAGCAATAAAAGTTTAACTTGCATAGCTAAATGATTATATATTTTTTATAAGCTCTCCATAGTTTTGATCAGCTTATTAATCATTTTTTATATTTATAGACCTTATTTCAAGCTATATTTAAATTATATATGCTATATTACACAAGCAATTTTGCCTCTCCCAGTGAAAGTCTATGGAGCACTCAGTGTTTCATGGTTGCCTATAGTTTGTTCATGACAGATTAAATTAATTGTGCTCTATAGGTGGCTTACCTTAAAGTAATCATTGAATATGGTGTGTAGTGTTTCTGGTCTGCTTTTTCTGAACAATCCTGCCCCCTTGTGAACAGAGCCTCAGGGAGTCCTGATAATGTATCCCTGGAAGCTTTTAGCATGGTTGGTTTTTTATGCTGCATCACATTTACATTCCTCTCTTCCAAGTGTATAGTGTGTGTGTGTACAGAAGACTTATTATTATACAGGATTTATATAGCGCCAACAGTTTGTGCAGCGCTTTATCCAGCTGAGCAGCTGAGGAACGTTTTTTTTTTTTTCTGAGCATAAGTTTTCCTGTCATCACAGCCATTAAAATTATGTGTTCTGTCTTTGCAAACTGCAATACATTTTGCTGCTGTGTTCCATTTTGCTTGTCTGTTTTTTTTCCTTAAAGGGAAACATTTTGTCGTAAGTATTTACTTTGTGCTGTAACTGTTATAAAATAATAAAATAATCTTGATATGTTTTTTACATACCTGATGATTAGCTTTCTATGACCATTTTTTTAATATGGTCACAAGACTCTGCTGTAGGATAAGCCATCTGCACCAAACTTTATGAATCTAGTTCCGAAAGGCAATTGGGCTACAAGTAGTACATGACAATAATTGTGCTGCGTTCCTCAATTGAAAACGGCATGCTTATGTAGAGCGCAAATATGACTCCCAGACAGTTGTCTTAAATTACCCTATGTTGTACAGTTTCCTTAACCTGCTGGGCTATTGTAATCTGACAGCCAGCAGTCAACTGTTCGCCTTTAGGCCTGGGTCCTTCGACAGAAGTCGATTTAAGAATGCACTTTTGTATAACGCAGTGGTGCTGACAGGGCCACACGCAGCTCAAATTTCGGGCCAAGTCATTTTGACTTGGCCAAAATCCGAGCACTATATGGGCAGCTTTAGTTTTTTTTTTTTCTCTTGACCTACCCAAAAGGACAAGATTTGTTTGAAATCCACATATAAAGCCTAATTTCTTGCAATAGTGTACAAGTATACAAAGCATACTTGCACATTATCACCCACTCTCACTATGCCTTCATCAATGACAGGTTCATGCTCCTGTTCCTGCGTTCCAGGTTCTGTGACTCCTCCTTTAGCAGGCCCATGCAAATGGATTAACTGAATTTACACAACACACAGATGTTCATATGCCCAAAAAGAAAAGGCTTTAGATTTATATATTTTTGGAAACCCACATGTTGAAACCCTGTCCGCTGCTCCCTTCCGCTGCATGTATTCCACACTTTCATGTGCGAGAAATAGCTATTCCCCCACTGCACCCTGTGACTCTTCCTGTTGGCTTGTATGCAAGGCATATGAGCGGGCACAAGGAGCAGGTATTCAACCCATCCAAAGGGAGAATACTTGCAGTGGCAGAATTGCTGTGGCTTTTCAACACATGAGCCACTAGAAAGGGTTATATAGGGCCGCTTTTATTACAGATCGACTTCTTTCTGTTTTGACTCCTTAGGGAGAGGCTCACTTTAAAGAAGTGGTAAACGCCCACCCTTTTTTTTCAAAATTGATTCCACATCAAACAAATAAACCTTGCTCCGCAAAGTATTTCTTTACATTTTTGCCCAAACACTTAGTCATCAAGTTGCCAAACAGCTGACTCCCAACACTCTCCACTCTGCTTCCCTGGAGTTCCTGTCTAATCACAAAGGACAGCAAAGACTCCCAGTAGCTGTCCATTTACTAGCTTGGAAAGAACTCTTAAACATCAGAAGCAGCATCCATTGAAAGTGATTTCATCAGTGTTTTTATTTTAATATCACTTACTATCATCTCCACCCCAACATATAACCCTTAACCAAAGTGTTAACCTCTAAACTGACCCCATTATTGAATATGTTCCCCAAAACCTAATCTTAACTCTAAAACTAATTTATCCCCAACATGATCTCTAACACTCAATTAACACATTGTTCTGTATAGTTGCCTGGTGCTGTATTGAGAACAAGCCATGCCAAAACCTCCTGTTTGCTAGCAACAAAAACTAATGTTCCAATACAAGCGGACTATGTTAAAGGGAATGTGTATGATAGTTTTGTATATATTTTGTTTCCTATGGTCAGCAGTAAAAATTACAATTGTTACATATATTAACATATTGCCGTTACCAACTGTTTTCCATATGTAACCATAGTTTGGTAAAGGTTTCATGGTATGCTCTGTTAGGGGAGAAAACCTGTTTTCAGAGCTCAATAATGTATGCTGGAATTTACACAAACAAGTAGGATTTTTAAAGCCGTAAAGCATGTTCTTTCCTGCTTTCTCTGTATGGCTTCATCCAGAGTTTCAATTAGAGACGGCCTGCCTGAAATACTTCATCTGTTATGTCTTCAGAAAACCTAGTGTGTTCAGGGAAACGTTTGTCATGAATTAACATTAAAATTGACAAACAGTCTTTGCAAAACAGCATTAAATAAAATATTTTAAAAACATTAAACTTAAAAAAAATGACTCAACAAATATAGCCCTTTAACCGCAAGATCCTGTTTGCAGATAAGTGTTTTAGTCTATTTAGTGGGTTAGTAGCATCTCAGAAAAGTTTTCCACTTATGGTATATAGTTTATGATTTGTATGTAACCTCACTGTATTGTGTAACTATGTTTCTTCATTAAGAAATCCATTAACAAAAACTTTACATACAAGGTTTATGACATGAATATGTTTGTTATATTTACATTAACCTGATGGTTATTCATATACATATTAAAAAAAGCAGACACAAGCCCTCCCTGCTGAGGGGAGGGCTAGCGATGATTGCAGTGCTGAGCGGGCATACCGGCCCGTGCGGCTTTCGTTTTCCACCACGCCATCAACCCGCCAAAAATCGTACGATAATCGGTGGTGTATGGGCACCTTTAGTGTATGTGTATATCGGGCCCCATTCACACCTACAGTATATTTCGGGTGTGATTTAGAGATTCCTGTGTCAGGAACTTGCGTTTTCCTGCAGCAGGAATCCCTAATCTGCCGTTTTCAAGCGGCAACTATCATACGATAAGAATTATCATAAGATCATTTAAGAGGGTGTGTTTAGGGGCGGAGTTAAGGGCGGGTAAGGGTTAGGTGGGGCAACTGGTGGCTAGTAACTCTTAAGGCCTGGCTAGTAGTTCAGGACTTGAAATTTTGAGCCCTGATATTATTATAAACAATTGTTTAATTGTTTTCCATGTACAAATCCATATAATTGTATTTTAAGGCTGTGGTTGATGCTCTGGAAATTTGTTTTCTACTAGAGTAACCGTGTCACATTGAAAATGGACGTTTCTCACACAGAGCACTCACATGTCATTGGTAAAGGAGGGAACAACATCAAGAAAGTGATGGAAGAAACTGGCTGCCACATACATTTTCCAGACTCCAATAGGAATAATCAGGCTGAGAAAAGCAACCAGGTACATGACTTTTCTATAATTGTTTTGATTTATTTTATCATTCACTTTAAAAGGTATTTTTTTGGTATAATCACATTTGAGATCAATCTGCCATCGGAATTAAGAATCGCGGATCCAACTGTTGCTTTCTGAGAATCTTGTTAGATTACTGTAGGCAACTTATGTATTTAAAACATGGGCAACTTTAGTGCACATACCCTGGTTATCCTTCTCCCCAAGCTCAGAATTTTTAAGCAGTATATTTAGCTGTAATTTTTTTCACTGGAGATCATCACAGTTTGCCTGGAGCTGCAGAGTCTCTCTTCAGCCACTCCTGTATGGCTGGATTGCATATCCTTCAATAAATGGCTCCAGCAGGGCAGAAGAACGTTCCATTGGAAGCCTATAGAATTTTGGCTGTCCATGCACAAGGGAGATCTGATGCAGGACTGCAAAGATTTTTGAACGACATGCTCCATGGCTTTGTTAATCTTCGATTTCCACAGGCCTGTTATACCTGTGTATAACAGCCCTATGGAAATCTTCGATTTCCAAACCCATGAAGCATTTTGTTAAATAAATCTTTGCATTACACGGACGCTCAGTATAGAAAGGGAGGAACTTATGAGATCTGAGACTAAAATCGATCTTATGGCTATAAGCACCCCAACACACAAAGAAAGCATGCTTTTTAGACCTACCCCATGCTGATTAGTGCTTCTGACCAACCTGGAAGAGAAAACGGGGGGAAGGAGTGTGTGTTTAACTTTAGTCTGTCGGGCATGTTATGCATTCATGCCTTTGGTTCTTCGGAAGATATCTTCCCATGTATGACTCGTCTAAAGTGTCATGATTATTAGGCTATTTAGATAACAGGAAACAATCCTGTCCATTGACCTTGTTTGTCAAAAAGTTTTTTTATAGGCAGTGTTGGTGAAAAAAAACATTCAGCCTAAAACAAGTTCTGTAGTTTAAAATGGAATTCATGTGATTTGACAGTAGCAATTCCGTCAAAGCTACAGGACAGCCCTGCACAGCCCCTCCACTTCTAGCCTGCCTCAGTTTTCTAGTGTCCTTAGGTGATGGACGCCTTCTCTAAGCTCTGAGAGAAGAACTCTTACATCTCTTCTAGCAAGTTTCCCTAATGCTGGTCTAAACCACTGCAGAACCTCTAGCAGTTATCTGGATTGGTATTCTCCTTGGCAGAGCCTTGGCGGACCATACCCAGACCCCTCTTGAAAGAAGATGTAGGACTGGCCTCTAATGTGCTTAGTAACCAAATCCTGCACTTGGTTCCCTCCATGACACTTTGTGCAGCATGTTTAGTTAGCCGCAGAAAGCTTTACAGTTCCATGGCCTCTGTCCTTTAATTGGGCCTTGACCTTGAACACTCCCCTAGGAGGGAGTGGAGATTGACTATAATGTTTCAATTCAGCGCATCCGTGGTAAGGGCCAAAAGCCCTCAGGCAAGCCTCAGACAGCTTACACAGATACCCAGATGGTAGCCCCAGTACCCTACGGGGTTAAATCTGCTCTAGTTCGACGTTCATGTTGCCCTTTTAGCGGGGGTTCAACTTTAAGCATTTAAATTTGAAGACTGGTGCACTCTCCACCTGAACACTCACATAGACACCTCTACCCACCTCATACACCCACACTGGGCACTGCACCAAACTTCGCCAGCGTTCCCTCCAACTCCCCCTCCTCAATCCATCCGGGACCAGGAATATGAAAAGGAAACAATGTAAAAAATTAATTTGGAGACCGCTGTTGCTTCCCAAGAGACCTAGGGGCCAGTAACCGTGGCTTTGCAGCTTCCTTCCCAAGTACTGTACTGAACATGCACCACCATCTAACCAAAGCAGGACATACAGTTCCATTGGAAGTAAACCCTCTTCAGGGGTGTTCACCAAGCTGCTGGCCTCTATCTTGGCCATTCTGCAGTTCCAGGGGTTCCCCATAGGGGGGTACTTAGACCGGTCTAGCAGCCAGGCAAGACCGAGGTTCAGGTGAGTAAATCTCTTAAATGGACAAAAGGGTAAAAAAATTGAGGAAATGCTGGTCACATTAAACTGTCAGTCTTATAACCAGCCTCTCCAATCATAGCGTCCCTGCCGCTGTGTTAGGCCAGGAGAGCTCTCTGTAGGAAAACATAGGCTCCACACCGTGGGCTGTAAAATGCAGGCCACGGTACGAAATAACCTTGTGGAGTAAAGCTTCAGTATATTTTAACTGAACCTGTGCTTTTTCCATGCTGGGTGATCGTACCAGGCTCACTATAGAGGATGTAGATACATTTCTTGATCTCTCAGCCTGGATGAGAAAATGACCGAAAGGTACTGGAAACAGGGAAAGTAAATCTCTCTGTTTTAAAGTAAACTTATTTGCATAGTATAGGCAAAGCGCAGGTTTCTATTTAACGTCTTAATGTGAATAGTGGTGACTGAATTAATCTGCTTGCCAGCTGTCTTCTCGTGCTGCTTTGCTTTTAACATGTTTCAAACCCACAAACGTGGATACGTAACCACAGATTAGTAGCCGTGTTTCACAGCTTGAGACACTTTAGTTTTGCTGAGATAATGGTGGTTTCTCTCCCTTTGTACAAGTTGAATGTTATTACATAAAACAAAAGTTCCCACTTATTGCAGACAAAATTACACTTTTTTTTACTTCCCAATTAAGAAAAGAGCAGAAGTTAGATTTTTTTCCCCCTGAGCTAAACAGACAGTCCCAGACTGAGGTGTGGTCTGCAAATCAGATCTCAATAACCAGTTGGCTTTCTGAAACAGTTTTTTTTTCAATCTTGCATTGATAAACATAGTCTGTCAGTGGTGTCAACATAAGACCAGACCATATAATGTTTTTAGGTCACTAGATATGATGATTTATATTTGCGGTTGTATAATGTGTCCTAAGGGACCTCATAAATAAAAATATTTCCAGGAAAAAAAAATCTGTTCATTTCATAGTTCTATCTGTTAAAATGCTTTATTTGGGACACAGCTCAAATTACTTGAAAGACATTCTCATACAATGTGATGGCGAGAAAATGAGAGTCACAGTTAACAGATCAAAATAAAACACGGCATCTTGTCAAAATTTGGCCATGTAATAAAAGTAGATTTTGGAAAGAGCATACATTTTCTCTCCTCCTTTTATTCTGTGTGAGTTATAGTAGAAGTATGTAAGAAGAGTATGTCAACATCTGGGATAAAAGTCAATAGTGAAAGTGTCCGGTGGGAGTAGTTTCTAAATTGCTCAAGGCAATTTTTTTGAAGGATGGGTAGGTGGGAGGGGCAGTAAAGGTATAAAAGAGGAGCGAAACATAGATCCATTCTTTTTAAAATCAGCTTTATTGTACATATTCAAGGTACAGTGGTACAGGAGGCGATGCCTCATAAGCATGACAACATCCTCCGTGCATAGCTGGGGCAGGAAATGTAAGTTGGTCACATTGCATACAGTATGGTATGAATGAGCTGCTCGTCCTAGCAGAGCAGCCATCATGTAGCCAATGTGGCCCTGTCTAGTAGAACAGAGATAGTCAGCAAAAGGTTGCATCAAACATATTCAGTATAGGTTGAAATCAGGCTCTAGGTGTGATGCTAGCCCTGTGTGGCGTTAGAGGAGCAATTGCTAATATTAAAGCACACTTACATTTGTCAATGTCTCTTCTCACGTTACAGCGTAGGATCAAGGTTGTGCGTGTGTTTAGCAGCGATGGGAGGTACATGGGGGAGAGGGGTATGGGCTAGAGTAAGAGGGAAAGCAGATAGGGGGAAGAGAAGCAGCGGGGAGGAGAGCCAAGGATGGTAGAAAGCAAAGAGGTTGTGGGTCAGGCGCTCGGGGGCGTTGCGCTCATAGCCCGTAGGTAAGCATCCATGCCCTGAAAAGAGGCCCACGGTCTCCAGGTGGGTCGAAAGAGTTCCTCAGTGTTCCCGAGCGTGTAGGTTAAATCCTCCATTAGGTATAGCGTGTTAACCTTGGATAACCACATCCTAAGGGTAGGACAACTAGGCTGTTTCCATAACAATGGGATGCATAGGTGGGCAGCATTCAGGAGGTGCCTAGACAATGACTTTTTATATTTGCCAGTGGACATGTTTAAATGTAGCAGGCAGGCTACAGGGTTGTCCGTCAGATCCACAATCACCAGGTCCTTCGGGGTGGCAATCACTCCCTGCCAAAAGGGTAGTAGTTGGGGGCAGGACCAGACTGTGTGTAGTAGTGTGCCCGGGCGGTTCCGACACCTCCAGCACGCATATGGAACTTGAGGGCACATGGCGTGAAGGGCTGTTGGGACTCTATACCAACGGGAGACTATTTTGTATCCCAGTTCTTGGGTCTTGCATGCAATGGAGGAGTGATGGGCAAGGTGCAGTATGCCGTCTTTTTGGGCCAGTGTGAAGGTGGCGTTTATGTCCCTTTCCCATTTAGCCAAAAATGTTGGACATAGATCCATTTTTGACTGAAATATATATTAGATTTTAAAAGGCCGTAAACCTTAAAGAGAACCCACCAGTATAGAGATTATGCAGGAAATTTGAATATTCATTCTTAATTATTATAGTGCAAGCTGAGTTTATAGTTTCCTTTTTAAGCTGGGATAGCTGACTTTGCATAATGCAAATATGGATATTTTTATCCTGCCATCTTCCCTTTTAACATGAACCTGCGAGGATAAAAATATGCAAACTATCACTGTTTGTTTTTAAAGGTGTAAGTTTAAGGGCATTCATCCTAATCCTGACTTATGCATTGCATGTTCTAAGCCAGTGTCTAACCAAACAGTGAACACAGGATCAGGATGACAGCTCCAGAGCTTGCATCTGTTAAAGTGATGGTGAACTTGAGTTTAATCGCAAAAATGCATTCAAGTACCTTAATAACACAAGTACTTTGTGCATCACTCAGCTGTAGATCCTCAAATCATCTCTGAATTTGTGCTGCGTCTTTAAACATTTAAACTTCCAAAACTACATGGTGGATGGAAGCAGAACTTGAAACGTTGGCACTGTCATGAGATGGCAGCTGGAGGTTGGACAAAACGTTTACTAGCCTCATCTCTTTGCAGTTCTAGAGACAATGAGAGAAGTGATTGGGTATGTACTTTCCTGACATCCCCATCAGTCTATGTTGAAATCTTGTCAGTCTTATGCATATACATATGGGTAAGATGGCTTGGGGCACTCTAAATGTCTCCGCTAGCTGAAAAAGCATGGTATCTTATATTTCTGGGTATAATCTACCATGGATCTCATGTTGGATCCTAATTTATTATTCGTAATCTGCTACATTGCATATTAGGATAATATAGCTTAATTTAATGCTTTGACACAGTTTTTATGCGTTGTATGGGGAGTAATGTACAGTATATGATGTGCCTATTTTTCACGTACATGTGGAAAGTGAGATAATGTTTTCTTTTCTTTTTTGTGTGTGTGTTTTTAATATAGGTATCAATTGCGGGACAACCTGCCGGGGTAGAATCCGCAAGAGTAAGAATAAGGGTAAGTACTGCCAAGGGTTGGAGGACTTTGAACACATTCATTGGTTATCCATGCGATCTTCTGAAACAACATTTTTTTTTTCCCTACAAATTGATAAGTGCACCTACATTTTTTTTATAGAGCATAATATGATTAAGGCACTGCGTGCCCTCCGTACCTGATCCCACAACACTTAATTTGGAAGGTTGCCAACATGAAATGACTTTGGTATTCTTTTCCTCCTTTTTTTTTTTTTTTGTATTTGTACCCAACTCACTCACCCAATGTTCTCTTAGTGGACCAGCGTGGCTGGCATTAACATTAGACACCAGCTGGGCACTGGTTTAAGGTCATTCTATTACACCCACTTACATACACACTCAGTGAGCATCCATGATCACAACACTGTAGTTACAGCGTTTAGACTCCAAATGGTAGCATTAAGTTTATTTCCTGACATAGTGTATGTTGCACAGAATAAGTGGGTTGATAATGAGTTAATACTCCATGCCACCATCCCAAACTTCAAAATATATTCATACTAGTGACTCTAATAGTACTTGCAAGGCACCAGTATTGATCAAATCCTCAGATTAAATTATTCTAAAATATCAATCCATAGTTTTTATTACAGAATAAATACAATTATTTAATAAAACATGAATTATTACAAACATTTTTGGTCCTTATTGTAAAAACTTAATGTTCTGATTGGCACCTTCCATCTGCAATCAATTTGTATATAGTATTTAACAATCTTGATCAGCAGAAACCATATTCTGGTATAAGTGATTGTTGCTGTCTAAGCGTGTATTCCAGATAGGCAAGCACATTGATGGGGCTGCGCAAGTGACTCTTTTTCAGGAGGTAATGGGAGGATACTCTAAATTAACAGACCATAACTAGGTAATGTGCAGCAGGCACTGATTGTACCAGTTGTATTTATGGGCATGAGGGGAAGGTCTGACGAATCACTATTTGGTTGAGAGCTTGATGGAATACTAACAAGCACACTCCTCCCGTGGAAGTCCCAAATTTGGGAAGAAACTCATTAGGGAGGCGCATGGAGTTTGTTTTTGGATCACAGCTGCCGCTGTTGGCTTTTTAATGTTGCCATAACAACAGACTGGTCTGAAATATACTGATGATTAGATTCTTAGAGGAAGGTGTACTTTATTGTGGCACACCTTCAAGATAAATGTAATTGTCCTACTGCTGCATGGATGGAAGGAGTTAGTAATCCTCATTCATTCAGAAGCCATGCTTGGATTTCTGCAGCTAGTGGATGATCAGTCCACACAGTAGTATTGGAACCTCATACTAGTAATTGCAGGACTGTCTATTCACATAAGTGGGTTAATTTGATGATTATATACTGAGTAATGCTGGGGCTAGTTAGCTCAGAACCCGTATACACATAAGGACTTGTTTATCTCCCTGATCTTTGATTTGACGGAGTGACTATTTCTGTGGAAAACACACGTGGTAGATTAAACAGATAAGGCAAAGGACAAAGTGTATGGAATACAAATTACCCAAAAAATATTTCTGACGGAGGCGCAAAGGAATTCTGAAGTGGCTGCAGCTTCATGAATTAACATTCATTTTGCAGCTGTATGATTAACAGGGAACGACTTCAGATACAAGTGTGCATGTGATGATGAAGATGTCTGTACTAGAACTACGTGCAATAAGTATAATATATAATACCTAGTTTGAAGTTATCATAAGTGGATAACTTCATAATTAAAAGAACTATGAAGTTATATGTGGAATCACAATCGGGAATAGCTTTGGCTAGGGTTTCTACAAAGTATCCAAGTGTTGACACTTTGAGACAAAGTATACATTGGATATTTCCAGCATACAGCAAAGCGTAACGCATGTGGCATTACAAAGTAACTTGTGTGACTGAACTTGGAACACTGGGTCCACCTCTGCCATTTTTTTGTAATTTATGGCAGTATCGAGGTGGTTGAACCAGGTGGAAATGTAGCCCTTAATTCATAAATCCACCTCCTTTTAATTTGTAATGGACTCCCATCAATATGGCCTCCCCTTGTTTCCTTATGAACTCAGTCCAGGGCAGTGAAAGATATACGAGGAGTCATATCAATGGTGTAAGGATTCATGTGCTAACTTGAAAATTAAGTTTGTACAAAAATGTACTGCAAATGTTATATAAAATCCACCAGTATTGTTCTATGTAAACTGTTTTTACCATTTATACAGTACTAATGATGACAGTAAAAACTGTATTTGAAGTAAGATTCTTTAGTTCTAAATTGGCACATGGGGTACTATAATCACTCTCCGCTAAAGAGTGATTCGTTTTGGCCCTAATTCCTTGTGTTTTTAGATCAATTACATTTTGTTTTCGTGAGATTTACAGTATTTATTAAATTCCACCAAGCCAAGATTTAGGCTTGTTTCCATGTACCAGTGCCCTGTAATGTCTTATTAGGCTTCTGGTTTCTTTGGCTGGATGAATACTATTGTATTGTTTTTAGGAAAAACTCCTGTGAAAATGGTTTAGATGTTTCAGTGACATATTTCATACTTCCTTCATTGCTTTGTGGTTTTCAACTCATCAACATTTGAGACATTTTATGATTTTCTAGCCCAGACCAAACCACCTTTCTTCAAGCCGCATTTCCATTTATTACTGATCGCGTGATGAATGCTAAAGTACACACAAGCAGAAGCACTGAAAGATTATTTGCTTTAGATCTGGCATTTGTCGCATCTGAAATTCCTTGGACACATCTCACACACCACACAAGTCATTCAGTCAATAGTTAAATAATTGGAAAAGGGGAAAATTACTACTTGCACTATGAGGGAGGGCATACGCCTTTTTGCTGTGCATTACATTTCTGCTGATTTTCACAAAGGATTTGACCTAGTGCTCCTAGCCAACCAAATGTATGTAGCAGAGTACACTTGTATAGTGTCCTCTCACATACAGAAAGCCTGACTACTTCAATTCTCGCACTGTTCTGCCCTTTTTGGACAAAATCACTTTTACATTTTCACTATGGGCCTATTTGGTTATAACTTGGCTTTCTATTGGCAATCTTGTCTTTAAAAAATTTACTTTTTCTATGTAACCTGTAGACAAAAAGCTTTTTTTTACTAATTTCACCCCTTCATGACCGAGGCCTTTAATTTTTTTCACCCATATTATATTCCACATTTTAGGCCTGAAAATGACTTCAAACCCCCAAACATTATATATTTTCTGAATGCCGAGACCCTATACAATAAAATGGTGGTAGTTGCAAATTTTTATGTTGCGCAATATTAGCGATGTGTCCGGCCGGGGGTGGGGGGGGCCCTTCTACGGGACACAGAAGCAATCTGGCGACAGCTAAGTCGCCAGAACCGCTTCTGTTGTAAAGCCGACAGTCGGCTATACAAGTTTAAACAGACTCCCGGCGGCAATAAACAGCCCCGCTGCTGGCGACGTGCACTGTACGTCAGTCACGAAGGGGTTAAACAATGTTGGTTTAAAAAGTGTACATTTTTTATTTTGTTTATCCCATGTAAAATTACACTAAGCTGATGGTACAAAGCATGGCAAACTTGCAAATGGTAAAAAAAAGCTTATTTTTTTTTTTCCATTTTGAATATTTATTTTTCTTATATGTAACACTGAAAAAAAAATAACAAAACAAATTAGTTAGAATTAAAATATTAATGGGAAAATTAATTTTGAAAAATTATCAAAATGGCTAAAGGGAGGGAGTTTATTGTTAACCAAGTTCATAAGGGGTTGAGTTGAAGTATGTGTTTACATTTTTTTTTTCTACGTTTGCAAGGATTTGATTTACACATGAATAAATTGGTAACTACAGTGTAACAATACATTGTTTACATTGCATTAGCTAATGGCACTTGCAGGCTATCCGTAAGTGTCATTTTACACAGGCCCAGCTGCATTTTGACAACTGCTGCTTCTTTGTTATACATAGCCATTACACAGAACACAGATGACGTTGAAGTGACACGATACTCATGAGTTCAATCCTAAAAACACATTAAGTACCTTAACTATAACAAAAATGTAGCTTGTGTACCACTCAGCTGTAGATCCTCAAATCATCTCTGAATTGCTGCTGACACTGTCCTTCCTTCTGGAGGGTGGCTACTTTTCTTCCCCATGGTCCCTGTGTGTTGTGAAGTAGCCACCGCTCCAAGCTCACTCCCATGATGCACTACAATCTTAATACAAATTAGTAAACTAAACAGAAGATTGTAGTCCATCATGGGAGCGAGCATGGAACAGTGACTACTTTACAACACACACGCGTACCATGGGAAACAATAGAAGCCACCCTCCAGAAGGAAGGACAGCGTCGGCACAAATTCAGAGATATTTGAGGATCTACACCCGAGTAATACACAAATAAGCTACATTTGTGTTAATAGTTAAGGTACTTAAATGATTTTTTTAAGACCTAACTCAGTGTTTAGTGTCATTTTTAATTTTGAATGGATTTTGTGCTTTAAACACAGCTCGCTAGCATTAGCAGTTCCCTGAATGCTTGCACTTATTGTGGTGATTATGCTTTAAAGGAGAACTATGAGGAGTGCTTTTCACTCACCTCATAGTTCTAGCCGATCTGTGACAATGAGACTGTCACAGGTCGGCTCAGTACATCGGGAGGTGAGCGAACACATACTGGCGTTCGCTCACCTCTCGATAAGACTAGCACGACGGTAGGACGCTAGTTTGTGTCCTCCCGTTACCCTAAGGAGAACTATGGGGAAAAGCCCTAACCCCATAGTTCTCCTTTAATGTTTTTGGAAGCTTTTAGGTGTTCTATACCTGTATCTTTATTATAAGGGAAATAGAGAACTACAGGATAGCATATCTGCAGAGATGGAAATTCAAAACTGCGCAATGTTAACAAGGCAGTGGCTACTACTTTTACTTTTTTTCTCAGGTGTTACACCTTGCTTGAACAAATTTTGTGTATTGAACTGATTCAGGCCTACAAAATAGTGATATAATGGTTATTCATGAGCTGTGGAAATCTTTGCCTTGGAGGGTCAATAACTCCTGCATATAGTGTTAGATCTGTGTCAAAATGCTTTATGATCTCCATGAAGAGTATGTGTCACAATCCATTCTCTTTCACAGCTTTTATGTGTGTGCACTGTGCTTGGTATACAGCCACTGTTTCAGAGCATTTTTGGACAAGATAGCTTTTTGCGTTTCCGCTATGGGCCTGATAACTTGGGTTTCTATTGGCAATATTGTATTTCAATATTTTTACATATTGGGATCATTTTTTGTGAAATTTTCTTTTTACATTTCTTAGTTTGCAAAAGTTAGACGTTGCTTCTCAATTTGCTTCCTTTTGTAAAATAAATAATTCTACTTAATCTGGTAAATACATATGTTTTATTTTCTACAGGAATTGCTGCCTTTGGTTTTGATGTTTGAGTTGCCCATAGCTGGTATTTTACAGCCAATTCCAGATCCAAACTCTCCCACGATCCAGCACATTTCCCAAACCTACAACATAACGGTTTCTTTCAAGCAACGGTCCAGAGTTTATGGTGCTACTGTCATTGTGAGAGGCTCCCAGAATAACACCAGTGCTGTTAAGGTAATTGTCTTTTACACAGTAAAAGTTACATGCCGAAGACTTGCTTTGAATCAGGGCCTGAAAATCCTGATTCTGTTTATCCAGCTGTGAAACATCCCTTGCTGAAAGAAGAATTTCAGAAAGGCATAGTAAGAGTTGATTTTTATGTCACATATTGATGCACTGCAAAGTTCCAGCTGTAGTGCTTAGACCATATAGAGGGAATCGGGTCTTTATTGAAATCTCTTGGCGTCCAAAAAATGTCAAATGCCTTGTCATTTTAAACTTTTACATAGACTTTTTTTTTTGTTTTAGTGTTTTGAAAATATTTTCCGAGGGACTTGCTAAAGTTCAAAATTTGCTTCATGGTGGATTTTTATTGTAAACTTACCATGCTGGTGCAGGAAGTCACCATTTCAGAATAAATGTGCAGTAGTTTTGAAATAGAAAGTTCTTGAAAATATCACAGATAATGTGCAAGCTGATGTCTGAAAGGTTAGGCAGTTGTCTGTAGCAGCCAGATTCTTTTTTTCAGTGAAGGCTATGGTATTAAGTGGGGTGCTTGAACAGCACCCTCTCCTTTTGGTCATTCCCTGTGTATAACGACCTAGATTCAGGGATATATATCACTCAAACTATATCACCACATTAAAGGAAAGTAAAACAGCTTTATATTTGTAGATGTAGGTTTTTCCTATCTGGAAAAAAATGCATCTAAAGTGACCTTGGAACGCTGATTACATGGCACTTGTCTTTAATTTGTATTTTGGTTTTCTTTTGTGCCTGCCTAGTCGTCCATGTTGGCATTTATAACTTTTGAATGTGTACTAAATCTGAACCTTCTGGTGTTCACTTGTTCTGGAACCACTTTCTTTATAAGACTACTGCAGCAATAGAGCAAGAAAGTGTTACAGAATAGGAACATGTAAAAAAAAAAAAAAAAAGCTGCAGTCCTAACCAAAAGTCTGATGAAGACATGGGCAGAAAGGGTGTTTGTTGTCAATGGAGGAGGTCTAAATTCCTTTCCATTTACATCAGAGAACAATCATTGGCAGTCACAAATGTGTGGCTGTTGCACTTTTCCATTAGGGGCATTTTCATGGCTTTGCACTGCAGTACTGCGCATGTTACCGCACATGTTATGGTGTGATATACTGCCATTCATTGTTGATGGCACCCCAATGCACCTTTCTAGTGCACTTGCAGTGCATCCTGGAATACCTTGGTTGTCCCTGGTTTGATCATACACCTCAAGACCTTATCTATTTCCTATGTAAGTACTTCTATTTTTCTTCATTCTTAATAAATGTTAAAGCATGAGAAGGCGCGGTCTCAATTCTCTTTTACATGCACTTGCCATGCAGCCCATTGTAACACATAAAGGAGTGCCACGCTGCAGAAAATGCTGCATGCATGATTTAATGCATAGCAGCGGACCAGACTGGTGTGAACGACCTTTATTGCTAAAGTCAGAAGTGCATAGCCCTTTGGTTCCTGGTCATCTTCTAATGTGCTCTTCCTGTTCAGGCTGTTTCAGACCAGCTGTGCCAAGTCCCTATCTTTTGTGTCTCTTGTACAGTCATGTGAAAAAAGTAAGCACACCCCATGGAATATCTCGGAGAGGAAAGGGAGGGTTATAGGGCGGCCATGTTCTGAATGTTTTGGGTGATTTGAAAACACAGTTCATGCAAGGAAACCCACGAACATCTTGCAGCTGAAGAAACTTTGCTTGGAGAAGTGATTAAAAATTGAGTTGATATCGGAGACTATTGGGCAGTTCTAAAAAAATTAAAAAAACATTCCTACTACTCATTTTTGCTTAAAGCGGGCAATACCAATTTCTTTGGTGAAAGATGTATTTAATTTTTCCACAGTACACCATTACATCTCAATATTTTGGTTGAATAAATTTATTGAAAAGACAATATTTTTGTTTGTTTTTATCCAAGTATATCATACTTATCTGTAGACGCCTTTTGAACGATCTATTTGATCTAATAGTTTCTAGTTCAAATATGTTGGAAAAGTCAATGACTTCTATGGCGTGTACTTATCTTTACACTGTTGTAGGTATTCCAGTTCTTTTTCAAGCAACTGCCTAGCTTTGTAATCTTATTGAACTGTTTTTATACTTTGTATGTAGGTAATGTATAAGGACAAAATATAGTGTATACATGTACATATACTTCCAGTCTTATTACACCCTCAAATGTTTGTTCCTTTAAGAAAATAGAGTTCTGTAGGTAATGCAGTTATTTTAACTGCCCAAAATAGGAATTTGGGGCCCTGGGATTTCCCCCTGTGCTTGCCTATGGTTATCTATATCACAGCCTTACTCCAGTTTTCTAGCCTGCACTAGAATAATAACAGCAGAATATCTTGTTTAAATATACCATAAGTAGAAACTTTGAAAAAGTGTTATGACTGCTGACCATTAGTTTTTTGTGGCAAGTTCCTGTAGGGAAAATGTGTGATGCTTGTAAAATGCAGACTGAGGTTGTTTTTAACTATGCACCTTGTATACATTCCAGATCTGCACAAATCCACTTCTTAAAACAGAATTCTGCCACTCATTTCCTCCCTGATCAAATTCACCCTTCATCACAAAGACTGGGAGGTCTCCAGTGATTTTTCACTTTAGGTTATATACTTTTCTCCCAGCTAACCTAGTATTCCAAAGGCTCTAATGCCTTCTCATCCAATAAATACATAACAGCAGTTATGTTTTTTGGATTATGTAAAAACACAGATACCGTGTAAACTGTCTAGTTTACTCAATACTTCAAGCCAGCCTTTAGCTATGTAATTATCTAAAGATGTAACAGATGTTGAAGTTCTTGTTTGTATGAATTTACTGAAATGCCTCGTTTTTATGGAATATTTTGTGTATGATTTTTAAGCAAAGTTCTATCATGTTTATGCTTCAAAATTTCACTGCTAAAAAAACCCCCAGAAAAAAGTAAACAACCCTTTCATGTACTGTAGCATTAAATGTAACAACACTGCCCCAAAAAGTAGGTTTTGAGAGAAATGCTTAGCATGTAAAGATGTAGGTGTAAACCCTAAATGAATGACATTTGGATTGCTAAAACACTGTCAGGGTTATTCACTAAAAGGTGAAGAGTTTGGAGAAGGCAGAAGAGGTGAACAATCTAGGACAACATAGCGGAACTGGAAAGTGAGCTGAATTGAAAATGTTTTCCAAATCAGCTATGTTGTCCTAAATTGTTCACTTCTCCTGCCTTCTCCAAGCTTTTTCACCCTTTAGAAAATAACCCTGTGTATATCCTAAACAATGTCCTTTTTTATTAGAAAATAGTTTTCATCCTTTTTTTTCATCCTTTTTTTTCATCCTTTTTTTTCCATCCTTTTTTTTCCATCCTTTTTTTTCCATCCTTTTTTTTTCCATCCTTTTTTTTTCCATCCTTTTTTTTTCCATCCTTTTTTTTTCCATCCTTTTTTTTCCATCCTTTTTTTTTTCCATCCTTTTTTTTCCATCCTTTTTTTTCCATCCTTTTTTTTTTCCATCCTTTTTTTTTCCATCCTTTTTTTTCCATCCTTTTTTTTTCCATCCTTTTTTTTTTCATCCTTTGTTTTATCTCAATGCTGCTGATCTCCTTCAGCCACTTGCTGTCTATATGCACTTATTCCAGTGGAAGCTGCATGTGATTTCTTAGGACAGGCTTCCTCATGGTGACCACAATGTGCCATTTGTTTGCATGGCTGGTTGTAGTCTTAATTGGAAGAGCACATGTGAATGTGAAGGAGAGTGTCACCCTATCACAGGAAGTGCCTGAAATAAAGCCTTGTTGGCAAGATCTCCAGGTATTTTATTTAAAGCTGCAGTTTTTTTTAAATCTAAAATTGCTTTTGTATTTGCAGTAATATGTTAAAGGTAATATGAGATTTTATTGATTGGGTTTACTTAGACTTAGACTTAGACTCTTTCTTGAGCTATGCTGCCATATCTGTGTGCTTGAAAACTTTTTTTTTTCTTTCTATGATATGGGGTCTTTTTTTTTTGTGTTACATTTTCTTTCCACAGAAAGCAGAGACTTGCCAGGGCTTTTAAAACCTTAAGGCCTTGGTTCTCAACTGGTGGGTTGTGACCCAAAAATAGGTTGCGACCCCATGTTCAGTGGGTCACTGCATACCTTCCACTTTTCTAGGTGCATACCTTCCACTTTTCCCCCCTTAAACACCCCCCCCCCCCCCCCCCCCCATACACACGCAAACATGCGTCGGGTGCG